TAAAAGCGTTGTATATTAAAAAGTTTTTTTTTATATTATTTATTTTAGTTTTTAGTCGCCTTTTTGCTTTCTTGCGATTTTTAGTGCCTTTTCTGTCTATTTCGCTAATTTATTTTGCCTTTCTATAGGTTTTTAGGTTCTAAAAATCCGTTCCCTGGTATTTGGTATAGATATGCATAATGTATGCATATGGAGTATATATGTATAAGCTGTCATCGATTCGCCACTTCGCTGCTTGCTATGTTTGAGTTCCGGTCACTTAACGAAAAATGTTGCATGTGAAAACAACAACAAAGTTATCTAGCACGGATAGACGATAGCGAGTTTGGTTGTACCTAGGAATGTTAATCCCGGAATTCCGGGATCCCGGCCTTTTTAAGGTCTCGAAAATCCCGGGATTCTTGGCAAGTAATCCCGGGATTTGTAATTTGCACTGATGGCAATAATAGAAACACCTTTTCTGGACCAGTACTTACTTTATTTCTTTTTTTTGTTTAATAGTTAATATTTTTTTATAAATGTCTACCTCATTGTGTATATAACACCGCGCGATAGTAGATTTTAAACACAAATATCAATATATTCGCGAAACCATGGGCCAAATATAGTAAAATTGCGTTTTTAGTTTTTCACTCTGACGTCAGTAATTCAAAAATGATTTAAAAATTCAGAGAAATGTGCTTAGAGAAGAAGTATGGGTATAAAATTAATGAGGAAATCCTGTAGAATTTAAACATATTCAAGTTTCTAGTGAAGAAGGGCTGGGAAATATTGAAAATGTCATTTTAAAATTATATCCTTGAAATTTCGCAATATTTGTTTGAATTTCGTTCTTCTAACTTTGTCAGCTTAAAAATTACCTATTCGTCCTGGTGAATCGAAAAAATTAAAATTTTTTAAATTCTAAAGAAATTTCCTATTACATTTGTTACTCATATTTTTATTCTACATTGCATTGAATTTATTAATATTTTTTGGAATTAATCATGTCTTTGAAATTACAAAGTCCTTCAAATTAAATCCAGCGGTCAGAGAGAAAAAATAAAAATGCCACTTTAAATAAAAAAGTAGGTTTCAAACCATGGTACAACAATTACAGGTATTGTCTTCCTAGAGAGTTTTGCTTCACATCGAAATTCGTGCTCCCTTATTTTCATTTTGACGCTGTTCAATGTTGATTCTTTTACTTTTATTTGGCTTTGCTTTTTGTTTTCGCTCAATTTAATTTTTATAATTTTTCAAAACAAAAGAAAAAAACGTTTGAAATTAAGTAAGCCATACAAATTTTGAATTTATGTACAAGCAAATGTTTTTTTTCCGGCTTTTGCAAATTGAATAAGTTCTCTGTAATATGCTTTGTTGAAAAAGATACGTGAACATATACATATGGTATATGGGATATGGAAAAAGGGATTTTTCCAGCAGTAAACGTTTTAGTGTGGGCAACAATGATACCTTTTAAATAAGGAAGATCGGAATATGCGCTCTCTGGGAAGACAATACGTGTAATTATTGTACCATGGTTTCAAACCCATTTATTTATTATTTATTTAATGGTAGGAGAGCTTCTCAAACAATACAGAAACAATTTTTTCGATTCAAGTTGTTGAAAAGTAATGAGTATCTAAATCCCGGGACTAATCCACGGATTGCGACAACGCCATCCCGAAAATCCCGGGATCGGAAAAAGCCGAAAAATTAACATCCCTAGTTATACTTCATTGAGTTCGTTCGTTTCGCCACTTCCTAACAGTTGGCGAATCGATGACGGCTATACTTTCTGTAGGCAAGAAGAAATATAAAAATTAAAATTAAATTTTCACAGATTTTGGTTCTTTTGATTCACCTGCCATCTTTTAGTTCGTCTTAAACTAAATAAAAGAACCAATTAATTTTGCTTTTTTAGGGGGTTTGAATACATTTTGTAACTAACAGAATATTAAAAAACGCATTTTCAGAAAAGATCACTGAGAGCTTTAAGCATTAATATCGACGATATGTTATTATTATTTTTTACTTACAATCTATCGGATCCAAATAAAAATTTAAATGGCAGTCCTTTAAAATATGATTTTTACTAGCTTATACCCGCGGGTTTCACCCCGCGCTTTTATACAAATAGGAAATATAATTTAATGATGTTAGGTTTTATTTCTGTGCCCATTTCGTTATAGCTCGTTATTTTCTAAGCGAGTTAAGGTATTTAGGCCGTTTAAAACTATGAAATTATAAAATCACGTCTGCGCGCTAGGTATACGAAATATATCAATCCCTCTAAGTTTACCTTAAAATGTTTCCAGGTATACGACGCGTGAACGTGTAACCTTCTTGGAGGTGCCACGGCGAGTTCTAATATTTCCAACTCAAATTTAATAACGTGGCCTTGATAAAATACCACTTCTCATTACTGTAGCAAATGCCTCAAGAGAGCTTTAGATTATGAGGCCGAACTCGGCTCTCCCTTTTCCATTTAATGAAATTTATTCTGTCTTCCACAAACACTTCCAGGTATATGTGGCAAGAAAAGGTAAATTTGTACGGGAAGTGCCACGCCCCTTTTTCTTATAAAGCTAATCTTCTTCCATGAATTTAGAATTGATTTTACATACCCCAGTACCAAGTCCCAGTACTCTACCATGAACACCTCTAGAGATAAATTTGTACGGCAGGAACCATGTCCCCTTTTCGAATAACGCAAATTCTTCTCTTTGAGTATGGAATTAATTTTGTATACACATTTCGGTGCCAAGTTCCAGTCCTCTGCAATAAACACCTCCAGAGATATGCAGCATATAAAAGTCAATTTGCATGGGAGTTGCCACACCACCTTTTCCAATAACTCATTTTTCTCCATGAGTATGGTATTCGTTTCACATACGTACATGCATACATATGTATTTCCATACCAAGCTTGAGTGCTTTACCCCAAACATTTGAAGAGATATGCAATATGAAACTTTCAGTCAGTATGGGAAACGTTTTTCCAAAACGCTTTTCCAAAAACGTCCATCTTTCTCCGTGAATATGAACATGATTTCACACAGTGTTGGCAAACTGTTAATCTTATTAACGATTAAAGATTAACGATTGAAATGTTAATCGCGTTTGACGATTAAAATTAATTAGTCGTAATCCACTTTACGATTAATGATAACATTTTTTTAATCGTTAATCGCTGGCTGCGATTACGTTTAATTAATTTAAAACATTAATCGTTAATCCAATTAAAAATAAAATCTGATTAATTTGTCTAGTTTGTCCGAGTTTGAAACCAAACACCAGTTATAGTAATTATTTTGTGTTTTACGCTTATAAAAAGCTAGTAAAATTAAAATATAATAATTATTGTTATTAGTAATACATAAACTGGGAACTTTTACAAACCTAGTTTGTAAAACGTTTGTTGGTATATATCTTAATGAAAATGCACACCAAATTGCTTAGATTGATGAGGAAACCCGACTTAGCCTTACCGGATTAACTTGCTTTGTGTGCACAGGGAAATTCCAGCATAACTTAATTAATCACCAAACCTACTTGATCAAATTAAGAGTTAATGATTAAAAATTTATTTTTTAATCGCGGTTACCTTTAACTCTTAGTCGGATGAAAATTAATCATGATTAACTGTAATCAGATTGAATTTAATAGAATTAACTAACTAGTTAAAACATCAATCGATTAATGCCAACATTGATTTCACATACATATCACTATACCAAGTTTCAGTTCTCTCCCACAAATACTTCCAGAGATATGTATGTAATATGAAAATTCCAATTTGTATGGGAGGGGCCTTGAGTTATCGGACTTACTTTCAGTCTAAGACCATCCTTCCGAAATCCGCAGTAAGTGTACTAAATTTCGTTCTGATCGGAAACCCCCTTAAGGAGGTAGCCTATTTTTCAGTCCAGGTCATAAACCATCTTTGAACAAAATTTCATTTTCAAACAGGTGGCAATTCTTAAAAAAGTAGCCTATTTTCCAGTCTATGTCATAAGCTATCTGTGTGCAAACTTTCATGCAAATCAGTTCAGTCATTTACGCGTATTAATTTAATTAATCTTTCCTAATACGTGATAACTCTTAAAATAGTAGCCTATTTTCCAACATAGGTCATAAGATATCTCTGTGCGAAATGTCATGCAAATCTGTTCAGTCGTTTCCGCGTATTAATTTAATTAAAACTTTTTTAACAGGTGGCAACTCTTCCAAAAAATTAGCCTATTTTCCACTGTAGGTCATAAGCTATCTGCTTGCAAAATTTCATGCAAATCCGTTCAGACTTTTCCGCGTATTAATTTAGTTAAACTTTTTTAGCAGGTGGTAGCTCTTAGAACAGTACCCTATTTTTCAACCTAGCTCATAAGCTATCTGTGTGAAAACTTTCATGCAAATCAGTTCACTCATTTCCGCGTATTAATTAAATTAAACATTTCTAACACGTGGAAACTCTTAAAAAAAGTAGCCTACTTTCTAACCTGTGTGCAATGCTATCTGTGTGCAAAATTTCATGCAAATCCGTCTAGTAGTTTCCGCGTATTAATTTAATTAAACTCTTTTAACAGGTGGCAACTCTTCCAAAAAATTGGCCTATTTTCCACTGTAGGTCATAAACTATCTGCTTGCAAAATTTCATGCAAATCCATTCCGTCGTTTCCACGTATTAATTTAATGAAACTTTTTTTAACAGGTGGAAACTCTTAAGAAAAGTAGCCTATTTTCCAATCTAGGTCATAAGCTATCTGTCTGCAAATTTTCATGCAAATCCATTCAGTCGTTCCCGCATATTAAATAAATGAAACTTTTTTAACAGGTGGCAACTCTTAAATAAAATAGCCTATTAACCAACCTGGCCCATAAGCTATCCGTGTACAAAATTTCATGCAAATCTGTGCAGTCGTTTCCGCGTGATGATTTCCCAAACATCCAAACATACAAACTTTCAGATTTATAATATTTATAAGATAAGATTACGTTATGTTTTATAATTCCTTTACTTTGCTAGAACACATGTGTACATAATTAATACTATACAGGGCGCATTTGATTGACATCCGTAATCATGTTATTTTTTCTTTTTGTGGGCGTTGGTGTATCGTAGCACCCAAAATCATGCGATGTATAAGTCGTTTCCACCGTTGGTGCATTCTTCTCCAAACACAGGACTTGACGACCATGGACCTGGCCATTTTGTTGTTGAAGGAAGTATTCGCGTGGATTTGTTTGCTGTTGTTGTCGACTTTGATATTGTTGCCTTAGGCTGGCCAGCTCTTGATTAGAGTTTTGAGGTTTCGGTAAAGCGACCGATAGTAGTTGCTGCTGTTGGTTGTTGTAGAATAGGAGCGTTGGCGTACTTTGCAAATATTCAGCATGGTGAACTTGCCGTTGGTGTCGCTGATGATGAGGCTGGGGTCGCAAATGTCCCTGCTGTTGCAGCAGTTGAATCGGTGGATATTGTGGTAATCGTACTACTTCGTTATTTTCGCTACATTTAGCGTATAAACGCCGCGCTACGTTCAATAATTCTTTATCTTCGTTTAAGAGTTTGTTGCCAGTCAGGCCATCATCACTGTTGTTGGTATTGTTGCAACAAACCAAATTAAGTTCGTTACTGTTGTTATTATTTACAAAACAAATGCCATTGTTGTTGTTGCTGCTGCCACCGCC